AGTAGTGATAGTTAACAGCCCCCCAAAATACTTGTTGGGATCCTCAATAAGTTTAACCAAACTGATTCATTATTCTGAAAAACACTATTTCAGCAGTAATTATATCTTGTAGTATGTCCGCTTTAACATAAATTTCCAAAATCTTTAGGTAACTAACTTCACACAAATGGAGTTAGTGAAAGAGTATTCATTTCTAAGATATAACGCTCAATCGTGGGTCACAACCACAGTCTCTAAGTTTATACGCTTAAACCTGTGCTTCTTGTTTCTGTAGCTACAGTATGCATCTCCTGGGTCTGCTCATGAGCGTGTGCATTTCTGCCACTTAGAGAAGCCATCTCTGGGACAGGCGCGGCTGTCAGAGGTGTGCCGTGCACCCATGAGTCCTGCTGAGATCGCGTGTGTCTCGCAGATCACGGTTTCTACCCCTCCCGGAACGCTCTGTGAAACATAAGTTACTTTGGATTTGAAAAGGAACATGCTGTTCTTTTTGAGTGTTTGTGTTCAACACAAGAGAAATCCAGAAGTGATGTATGCACAGAGAACAAACCCGTTTGCTGGTATCGTTTCCAGGGAAACCTCCCCTTCATCCGCCTGTCCCCACCCCTGAGACCCAGAGCCCGGGAGAGCTGCCTCAGGTGTCTTCGGATCACAGCCCACCTTTGGGACAATTGCAGCCCCGTTTTACAACTCAGGTAACACTCCTTTAGCTAAGAAATGTATTTTCAATAGCTTTTTACTAATTGCTTAAGTATTGCACTTTTATTACAGAAACTTCAAAATATAATAAACACTATATAAAAAGCCTCCAATTTTCTTTTATTTAAAAAAAAAAAGATGACTGGTAAGGGGATCCTAACCCTTGACTTGGTGTTGTCAGCACCACACTCTCCNCAACACCAAGTCAAGGGTTAAGATCCCCTTACTGGTCATCTTTTAAAAAATAAATAAATAATAAAAAAATAAAATAAAAAATAAAAAATTTCTGGGCTGGCCGGCTAGCTCAGCTGGTTAGAGCTGGTGCTGATAACACCACGGTCCAGGGTTCATCCCTGCACCAGCCGGCCACAATTACCAAAAAAAAATTCCTCAACTGGACTTGAGGAATTACAATGGTGATAACAGATGAAGTTGGAAATGTTCAGAAATTTGTTCTTTGAGAGTGGTCTTAAATTTCCTTTTTCTCTCTTGCCATTTTTGGTACTGGTTGTTCCATGACTGAGTGCCGCAGAGCAACGTGACTGTGCTGTGGCTCGGCTTCTGGCTTTGGTTTCTGCTGTTATCAGCAGAAATCCCCACTTGGGATTTTTGTCCTTAGTGTTTACCTACAAATCAAATACTGTCTTCCTTCCCCTTGCTCATGATACATAAAAAATGTATGGTCATGATAAAACGTACATAACATGAAATTAACCATTTTAGTTATTTTTAAGTGCACAGTTAATGGTATCAACTATATTCATATATTTGTGCAATCAGTAATACATTTGTTGATTCTTAACTGCTTTTTAAAAACAGACCAGGGCCGGCCAGTTAGCTCAGTTAGTTAGAGCCTGGTGCTGATAACACCAAGGTCCAGGGTTCAATCTCTCTACGGGCCAGGAAAAAAAATTTCTGTTTCAGTTTCCAATATGGTAAGTAGTGATAGTTAACAGCCCCCCAAAATACTTGTTGGGATCCTCAATAAGTTTAACCAAA